TCAGCAGAAATGAGAAAATTTTTTGCAGTTATCTTTCTAATGGGCCATACAAGAAGGGATAATCTGAAAGAATATTGGTCAACAGATCCATTTTTAGAAATTCCAGTTTTCGGCAAACTAATGAGCCGTAAGAGATTTGAGCAAATTTGGTGGTGTTTGCATTTCAATGATAATGANTAGTTTCTTTGACATGCTATGTCAGGAAACTAACATACTATCTCCAACACCGTGAACATTATGACAGAAGCTATAAGGCGTTGAAGTGGGTGGATGTCACGTCAGCAGAAATGAGAAAATTTTTTGCAGTTATCTTTCTAATGGGCCATACAAGAAGGGATAATCTGAAAGAATATTGGTCAACAGATCCATTTTTAGAAATTCCAGTTTTCGGCAAACTAATGAGCCGTAAGAGATTTGAGCAAATTTGGTGGTGTTTGCATTTCAATGATAATGAAGTGCAACCACAATCAACAAGCAGGCTTTTCAAAATTCAGCCCTTATTGAACTTTTTCATTCAGAAATTTCAGACAGTTTATAAGCCAAACCAACAACTGTCTTTGGACGAATCTGTGATTCCTTGGAGGGGAAGGCTTCGTATGCGAACAAATAATCCTGGGAAACTTACAAAGTATGGCCTACTTGTTTGTGTAGTTACTGAAAGCACTTCAGGCTATATTGGAAATTTAGAAATTTATTCTGGCGAAGGAAAGAAATTACAAGAAACTATTCTTTTCGTTTTGGAACCCTATCTTGATCAAAATTACCATGTCTATCAAGACAATTATTATAACAGTGTGGCAACTGCAGAACACCTATTTTCGAGAAAAGTACATGTTTGTGGAACAATTAGGGTGAACAGAGGCCTTCCTCCAGATCTGAAAGAGGAATGTAAATCCCTGAAACGTGGTGAAACCACATTCAGGAGGAAGGGGGATATTCTTCTTCAGTCCTGGAGGGATACTCGTGTTGTGAATATGATTTCCACAATTCACAATTCGAGCATGGTTGATGTTCAAAGGAGACATGGACAGGTAAAGAAGCCTGTTTGTATTTCCGAGTATAATATGTTCATGAAGGGAGTTGATAGAGCTGATCAGTACTTGGCCTATTATTCTCTTCCTTGGGAAACAGTAAAGTGGACAGAGAAAGTTGCCTTGTGGCTTATAAATTGTGCCATTTTCAATTCATTTTTGGTTTTCAAAAATCTAAACCCTCATTCAAAATTGAAATACAAGGCATTTCTGCTGAATGTGGCAAAAGCCTGGGCTACAGACCACATGGTGGCGGCAGAACCGGTGGCAGACACAGTCTTAGTATGACCGGGGCCGTCTACTCCCACCCCACGCAGGCCTCATTTTGACCTCCTGGGCGACTCTCGGGTGATATGCTGAAACATACCCTCGCGAAAATTGTGAAGAGTGAACATTTCAAGGGGAAGCAGCCTTCTAGGCAATGCTGTGTTTGCTCAATTCACAAGAAAAAGAGTAGGACTGCCTACATTTGCAAGTTTTGTGTAATGCTACTTCACAGAGGGGAATGTTTCGAGAAATATCACACCCTCAAGCACTTCTAGAAGCATTGGTAAGTGTTCTAAAAAATTTTAGTTCAAAAAACTAATTAGGAGATTTTATATTAATTTTTAAAGTGAACAGTGCACAATTTAGGGTAGTAGGTATAAAAATGCCGGTACGCAGGGTGATTTAAATATTTAAATTGCCGGTCCGCAAAGTGTTAATAAAGTTCTTCTTGGTTTGACCTGTTTCCAAAAGAATGGTGTGAAGGGGCATACTTTTATTTGAACATTGAATAACATACAAAGAAAATTTCCCCCTAATTCTGTTGCTGCTACAATATAGTTCTGTATGCTGAACTCACATGTTTGTTAAATGTATGTTTAGATAGGTTTCTTTGTAAAATTACTTATCACTGCAGACTGTATGGCATGTTCTGAATGATATGATATGGTGCAGAATAGTGCAGTTTTATAACAAGATTGATTTCATTTTCAGAAAAGGTCCAACTCATATGACATATTTATGAGGGGAGAGGAGATTATGTCTGGGGCCCAGCGAATCCATGATGCAGAATTCCTCACTGAACGGGCGAAAGCCCATGATATTGGTATGTAAGACAGTATAGTTGTGGAAGTTCAAAATTTACTTCATGACTGTTCCAAAGGAATGCAAGGTCTCCCCCCCCCCTTCATATTCCATATGTAAAACTACTGGATGGATCAGAGTTTGCTTTGTGGTTTCAAAAACCTGTTTAAGGTATTGCTTTGACAGGGGTGGCATCCACACCTCACTTTGCACTCATCTGAAAGTTCTCATTTTGCATTCATTCAGAAAAAATTCCAGTGCTTTCCAAGCTGTATAAAAATGAAGTCCATGCCACAGTAGCAGTTAACCTTTATTGGACGAACGTCATCATATGATGTCGTTAAAAGTTAGGGTAGCTGGCCGAACGTCATCATGATGTCACAGATTCCACGCGTGTAAGGTTTTTTTTTTTAAATTAAATATATAAATTGTTTTTCTATTTACATGATTTTTGGTCACCACCTTTATAAGGAGACAGCTTTCCTTCCTGCATGATCTAATGTAATCTAGTGACGTCATATGACATTAAAAGTAAGGCCAAATTGCCGAACGACATCATATGATGTCGCGCATTCCACGCGTGTAAAGATTTTTTTAAAATTAAATTTAAAATATCTAATGATCTAATGTAATCTACCGACGTCATATGGCCAAACGACCTCATGATTTCGCGCATTGCACGCGTGTAAAGATTTTTTTAAAATTAAATTTTTGGTCTACTTACGTGATATATGTTCACCATCTTCATGAGGAAACAGCCTTCCCTCCTGCGTCATCTATTGTAATGTGGCCTTCGTATGGTACAGCAGAAAACATTCCGAAATGCAGAGTCCGACGTCGCAGCTCACGCGCTTCGTCCGAACGCTAGACCGCTTCCCATGCGAAGAGCACACACGACACCTCAGTTGCGATTTAGAGGAAGCAGGCCAGTGATGTCGAGCTGCAGTGATATTTATCCCCGCAGCTACACCGGAATAATTATTCACACCTCTCCAGCCACACTGGTCTGGCGGTCCCCAAGTTGCCGACGAAGGTGATGACCCTTCGTCCGCGGAATCAGAACTCCAACTTTCCTCGCCACTCTCAGAATCGGTTGAATAGCAGTCTGAATCTGTGTCACTGAACAGCTGTTTCTCAATTTCAGCATCTTCCATACGACATCATCGTGTGGCCATGGTGAACTATACGGCTCTCTAGCAGTGAATTTTTTACTGCCAGCACAAAATCTCTCTGTGCTTAGACCATGACCAGAAGCCATAAATCATAACCTCGCGCCCACACATACAAAAATCTCATTCACGTCTTGGTTGAACTCAATATCTGCTTCAAACATGCTAGATGATGTCATGGGTGGCTAACCTTATATTGCGATGTTTCAAAATCGTTACAGACACAATGGTTTGACTGCAATGAATGAATGAATGACCGATCTGGCAACACCATATTCCGAGAATGTACTCCTGTGTCTTTCTAACAGACATTACACAGCAAGCGATTTTAGACGCCAACATTTCATTACTGACATGTCCCATACGATAAATAAGCTTCAACAAGAGATAGGATTTTATGTGAGGTCGCCACGAAGGACTTACACTGCTGGAACGCATGGTGCAGAAAATGTATGAATTTTGGGATTTTTTTTTTTAATCAGTGTAAAAATTTTTTACAGATATTAAAATCTGTAAATTAGAATATCTGATTCTATATTCTTTCTAGATTAAAGGAGCATTCATTTCGTTCGTTTATCATAATAAATGTAGAAATCACACCATTTTTAGAAACATGCTTACAATTTCATTGCTCTAGAAGGGCGGGCATTTAAATAAACTCTGTCCAGCTGCCCCTCCCAGAAATTAAATGGCCCGTCCGATAAAGGTTAATCCAGACACAGATTTAGGAATGAATAAATATAGCAGGATACGATGTAGACAAAGTGATGAAGTAAATGAGAGTTTTATGAAGTTAGTATTGAAGTTACATTGCTTTCCTAATCACAGCATATGAATTTGGACAGTTGGAAACATATCTGGCATCTTTCTGTGTGTGATGTGAGTTAGGTATGTAACTCCATGTATAGAAAGCATTGTTACTGTTAGGTCAATAGCTGAGATAGCTCAGTTGTTACAGCAGCTGGCTATGGGCTTAATGACTGACAGATCGGAGTTTGAGTCCTGGTAAGGCCAAGAATTTTCACTTCTCCATGTCATCCAGATTGGCTCTGGGGCCCACCCAGCCTGCTATCAGCTTCACGCTGTGGCCACTTTACCCCCAGGGGAAAGAGGCCGGGGCGTGAAGCTGACCACTGACTTCCAGCTATGCCAAGGTCAAGAAAATATGAGTCTATACATCCACTCTCTCATACATCTTTGTGTCATAGTGCTTAATTAGTTCAGCATAGGGACAGCTTGACAATACAGTATGAATCTGAAGACATTGTTTACAAAGGAATGATAATGTCTTTCTGTGACCTAATAGTAGAAAATGGTTATGATTTTACTTCTGCTTGCATAATATTATTTTTTTTCCTAATGAAAATTTTGGCATATTTAACAGGATATTACTTTTATTTTTGCAGATCTTGAGAAGATCAGGTCATATATAGATGCCTTCCGTTTTGGATGTGCTCCTCATGCGGGTGGTGGTATTGGGCTGGAAAGAGTTGTTATGTTGTATTTAGGTCTGGACAACATTCGGAAGACATCAATGTTTCCACGTGACCCCAAGAGAATAACTCCGTAAACCTGTATGAGTCTGAGAGGCGTCATTTCATAACTTCCAGTCAGCAATGTAGTGATTCATGTTGCTAATACTGATGCAACAGTATAACAGTAAAAATTCTGCTGCAGTCACCTTCAGAATTACATGAACTAATGGTGAACATGATTACAGTGCAGTCTAAATTCTGGGGTTAAACAAGGATTCATGTTATAATGCATATGTATATCAGTGACCTGTGTTGTACTAAGTCAATAGAGCATGGGTTGTTCAGCTGGGGCATGAGAAGTATGGTGGCCTCGAAACCAGCTGGATAAGCCAATGAAAATTTGTATACGTAATCTAATAACTTTTTATTGGTATTGCTTATTATGACACTAAGTTGGTTGCTGGTATGGCTGTTGCAAGTTGGTTGCCAATATTAACATTGACATAGCCTGCTATCTTTTCTGACAGATGTTTAATGTCATTCATACCCACTTTCATCCAGCTCCTTTGTTTGTCAAATAGTATGCAAGTTAAACAAGTTAAATCATTCTTCATAAGGCAGCCACATAACCAAGAAGCTGTGAAACACCATTCCTTGTTAAAATATTGGTTTGTATACTTACCTAAATCCTTATGGAGAGATTGAGGGTTCTGTATGCCTGGCCTGATTGCTCCAAGTCTTCATGTGTACCTTTTATTTATATAGCCTCAAAGTGAAAGACATGTCTAAAAATTTTGAAGCACTTTTGATCTTCTGACATATGAGTTTAATCAGACACAACCCTTCTCAGTTACAAATTAGTATTGTGCTCATATGCCTACTAAGTTGTTCACACAAAACACAGTAGAATATCAAATGAAAGAACATTTAAATCTGGATGTTTTCCATATGTACTTTGTCACATGTCTCAGAGCAAGGACAGCTGAAGGATACGCCTGTGGACATTGATGGCCTGGAACTAAAGTAATTTTGCAAACACATGCTCCTCATCTATTGCCAGTCCTCTAGGTTCTTTGTTGATGGGATAGTATAACATGTAGGCTGAGGGCACATTCTTTCTCACATTCTGGGACTTGGAACACACATTCAGACTATCATACATCATCTGTATATTTTATTCATGTATAAGTGAACGTTTTGCAAACTTAACCTGTAATAGTAGTTCCAATTTTAGTTGTGGCACTGCCCAGTGTGACCTAATGGGTGAGTTGCCACTGGTTGTTTACATCACTCAAGTGGCAGCACCTATATTTACAGTCTTGGCCCATGCAAAAATAATGGTTACGAAACCTTGCCAGTAGTTCAAGGTGTTTGCAGCAGAATTTATTTATTTTTTTAATTTTCTGATCTAACAGTTATATAAGATGTCAAAATATGACATTCTTGCATATACCAGTATGTTTGTCATAAAGGCCAATATATTTGCAATGGAATGTTTAACTCATGTTTGTATGTATTTTTAAATGATATTAGATTATTGAAGATGATTCACTGGAGTGGAATTAGACAAGTACAGATGTGTGTTGAAATAACAAAAATTGATTTTTAGCATGAATCCCTTTCAGAACTTCCTTTTTGCTCAGAGTGAATATAATGCTTGTCTTCAGGGACCATCTTGGTATCTGGTCTTGATGTAGATTGTCTTAGGGAACCTGCAAGACCCACATCAGTCCTCAAATGTGTACATGCTTCAAACACAGTTTGAGACTTGGGGATGAACTTCTTCAGTATTAATGTAAGTTTACTGAATTTAATCGATTAGCCATTCGGTCTCCGGTCGATTAGTAAACGGGCATCTAAACATATTCAACAGGTGATAGCCTACCTAAACTGTTTCACAATTATCCTTGGTGTCTAACAAGTGGACAATGTTGCTGTCATGTGATCCCCACATCGTATCTGTGCTGCCCTTACATGGAGCAAAGGCCTTCTTGAGAAGCTACTAGTCCCTCGACTGGTTAAGAAAGTCCCCCAACTTGCATGGAACCTTCACAAGTGCCCGGCACTTCATGCAGAGATGTGTAACTAAAGCAATTCTTTGAACAATTATCAATATTAATAATCAATAATAATATCAACAAAGCTTTAAAATAATACTGTAGGCCTAGGAGTCTCTTCCTCTCCTTCACTGACATGTGTTTTCATCTGATAAACAAAGACTAAAAGAAAAAGGTTAATCAGCGTAACTATGGGCAGGTTAAGGGGAAGGGGACGTGGAAAGAATTATTACATAAAAATCGCACAGCGAAGAAGTGTTTAACCATTATATATAATTTAATGTAAGACTCGCCAAAATTTCGGGAGAAAGTCTGGTCATTTGTTGCACAAACTGTACTAATACCGTTTGGAAATTAAATATGAGTTTAATTATAACATTAAGCTTTAATTTCGAAGACAAAGGCGATACTGCAATAATGCCCGCACAGATCCAGTATACACACACAC